CAGGATGTTAGAGGGTATAGCCCGAGCATCTGGCTAGGTCATACTAATTGAGATTCCTTCATAAGCATAGAGGTGACGGGCAGTGAGGACAGACTGCCATCCCCAATCAGTGCAATGGGTGTGGTTCTCATCAGTCTGTCTGTGTGTCTGCAACAGAGGTGACCGGCAGCAAGGACAGGCAGTGAGGACACACTGCATCCCCAATCCGTGCAATGGCTGTGGTTCTCCTGAGTCTGTCTGTGTGTCTGCAGGGCACATAGCTAGGTTCCTTGCAGGGATCCAGCTCAGACCTCTACAGGGGCACCAGGAGAATAAGGACACAATAAACATCCTCATAGTGCCCTCAATGTGATGCAGCTCAGAATGTGGTGTTCTCACCCACTGAATGCTTCTCTCTTGCTCAGCATCACTCATCTGCTCCCCACGACTATCAGAGCCCTGGAGGATCAGGATGGGCTGGCCCAACAAGGAAAACCTCCTGGCTCAGTCACTTGCTTCTCCCATAGTTCAAAGAGGCACAGAGAGGCCTGGGAGAGAAGCCCTCACACCCATTGGATGGGTCAAAGTTAAGCACTGTTATTGGCTGATAGAACTGTCTGACTGCCCCAGCATCTCGCATAGTTGAAATCGGCACAGAGAGGCCAGGGAGAGAAGCCCCCACACCCATTGGATGGGAAAAAGTTAAGCACTGTTATTGGCTGATAGAACTGTGTTTCTCAACCTTGGCTCTACATCTGAGACCTTAAAATTACCTGGAAAATTTAAAAATTCAATGCTCAGGCTACACTTTAGGCCAAAGAAGTCAGAATTTCTAGAGCTAGGACTCAGGCATGAATGTTCTTTCAGTCTCTGTAGGTGGTGTATCTGGGGTTAAGAATAGCCACAGTGGTAATACCTTAATCAATAATAATAATTAAAGAAATAGCCACAGTGCAGCTAGCCCAGAGTTGTCAGACCTAAGCCTCAAGACCACTGGTCAATTTAATAAACCAGTTTCACCTCACCTCCCGTTCCATCCTCTCTTCTAAAAACCTGAGATGAATGGATGATGGACCTGAGAGTGGGTCATCCAGAAGGTGAGAGAGGTAAGGCTTAAAGAGAGCCCAGGAATGGGATAGAGGGGTGTTAGACAGGGGAGAGAGAACATCAGAGCACAGGTAAATAGGAGAGGCAGCAAGGTGGTGGAACTTGTATTTCTGCCAGGAGGCAGGGCCTGAAGCAACACATGGAACTCACCAGCAGCTCCCACAAAAGCAAGGATCAGGAGTGGATTCATGGTGGCAGAAGTAGAGCTGGGTTGGTGGTGGAGAGCCTTTATACCTCCCGAGGTGAGGGTGGGTGGCCACCCCTACTCCCTGTACAAACACACCTGCAGCTTTCCCTTTCCCAGGGTCTTGGATCAACTCTGCTATTTTTGGCCACTCTGTGGGTTCGTGACCTACAGGTGATTAGAACATTTACTTTCTGAAGGCAGAGAGGAAGAAGACCTGGTGATTCATAGAAGTATTCCAGGATGAGGAGAACAGGGGAAGCCAAGCCCCACATACAACATCTGGGCCTTCTTAGGCTAAGAGGATGAGGTTTAGGAGGAGAAGAGCAACCTGGGCCCTTAGAAATTTTTTGACCTCATGGAGATTTATTTAACTGACTTTAAGGAAGGGCTGATATTGGTCATAAATGTGGCTGCTCAGTAACCTGGAGTCCCCTGAGAGGAAAGAAGTCTTCTCTAAGTTTCTATATGTGAGCATGAAGACCCTTTCTCAACTCTAAATCAGTGGGCAGGAAGGTCAAATCCAAGGCTTTGAGGAACCAGGATTGTATCATGAAGAGGTGATGAGAAGGATGAGGCTGTGTTCCTTGAAATTCTGGGTTTTCAGCTGGCTCTCCTGCCTATCAAAGCCTATGGAGGAGGGTATTTGGAAGGTGGAAAGGGCAAGGGTTCAATTCGTGTCACCAGGCACATTTGGGGGGCAGGAGACCACATCCCTCCTCTTCTTCACCATCAGG